GCTCACTAGTGTCGGCCACAGGCTTCGCTTTTGGCTGAACAGGATGAAACACCAAGATCCTTGTCGGGTGGAAAACAAGGCAGTGATGGAAGGGGGTGTCCCGTGCCCTCCTGACTGAGGAGAACGAATCCTCTAGTGTCCTTCCCGGGTCTTGTGAACACATGCCTTGTCTGACTTCTTGACACTGCTTTCGCCTCTAAAGAAATCATCACTCACCGAGTGGATGGGGTCCTTCGGAGAGTCGAAGAGCACGAGCCTCTGAGGAAGACGGCGATGAGGAGGGAGGAAGGCTGGCAGGCAGCGCAGGGAGGCGTTCTGGGAGCTGGGGGTGAGCCGGGCCCGAGCCAGCATGGCACCGTCTAAGTCTGAGGCTGAGAAATGTGTCCTTGGGCAGAACGACGGCTGCCCTTTGCTGCAGGCGTCTGCGTGCTCTGCGCTATTGTGTTTCACATACACCGCTTGCACTTCATGACAACCTCTGCGGGAGGCACTAGGGGCCCCTGGTCATGCAGGCCTGAACAAGGCATGATGACCCCTTGGTCTGCTGGCTTTCCCAGCACCCAGACCAGCGGGCCTGGCTCCCGAGACTGGGCTGTCAGGTTAGCCTTGGACTGAAGTTTCCATCAGAGATTTTTCATAGTGTTTTGTTCATATTCATTTCTGTTGCTAAGTGTGTTTAGCCTGACACATGGACATGCAGTATGTTCGTCACACGGTGGTCACAATAACCTCAGCTGGGCTGGTGATTTTCTACCTGCAAGTTGTTTTCTTCAGATCTCAGCTCAGGATAAAGTGCAAGGTTCAGTTTCCTTCCTCTTGTTGGCTAAATGTCAGACCTATCCTGCTACTTTGGCAAAGTTTTTATGTAGCAATTTCCTGCGTCTTAAAGGTAAGCTTCAAAAGTCATTGAGTAGTGGAAGTGTCAGAACTAGAGAACATTAACAGTCACTTCTTTTAGATTAATAAACTGATCCCCCAAGAAAAAGTGACTTACACAATGAGAAAATAACAAATCACCCTAAGAACACTAACCTCCTGTCTCCTATCCAGTTTCTTTCTGTGATGTCACTGTCAGAATAGCTCTCGGAAAGAACTGCTATGCCATAGGAAGTTATATGCCTTTGCTATACATCACTTGAAATTAAAACTCATGTTTGTTTGTTAGTGTCCAAAACTTTGCTGTTACCAATACCTACCTCTGAGAGCAATAATTATATTAAGGTATCTTTATGGACTAAATGTTTGTGTTCCCCCACCAAAATGCACCATGGGTCATAATAGCCCATCTGTTTTAAAAGAGAGACGACTGACCACGGGTGCGGTCTGGGAGAAGTGGGTTTTGCTTTACTTACTGATGCACTAGAATGAATCTGAGTTATTGCTACTATTTCGTTTTAATTGGGGGATTTAAATTACATTTCCCAAAATGTTTTATGCATACCACAAATGGCATACGAAATTATTTTAGGTGACATTCCAACAAATATGTTTTATTTAAACATGGGTATTTTTTTCCTATATATTAAAATATATTGTTAAAATACATATTCGACAAACAACTGGTGCCCAAAATATACACAGTTAAAATTCAACAACAAGAAAAGTAACAACCCAATTTTTAAAAAATGTGTAAAGAACAGACATCTCAACTAAGAAGATACACAGCTGGCAAATGAACATATGAAATGATGCTCCACCCAATGCTACCAGGGACATGCACGTTAAAACTGCAGTGAGATCCCACCACACACCTGCTAGAATGGCCAAAATTCAGAAGGAACCCTGTCAACGCAGATGCTGGTGAGGGTGTGGGGTGCAGGAGTGCCTCCTCTGCTGGGGCCATGAGATGGTGCAGCCCCTCGGGGGACAGTTGGGCCGTTTCTAACAAAACTAAACACTCTTACCATGGGATCCAGCAATCATGCTCCGTGGTGTTTACCCAAAGGAGATGATGACTTATGTCCACACAGAAGCCTGCACATGGATCCTTATAGCGGCTTTATTTATAACTGCCAAAATCCCAAAGGAACTAAGGTGTCCTTCGGTAGGTGAGCAATCAACTGTGGTACATCAGACGATGAAGTGCTTTTCAGCACTAAAAAGATATGAGCTATCAAGACACAGAAAGGTCATGGAGGAATGTCAAATGCACATCATTGAATGGAGGAAGCCAGTCTGTTCCAACTACGCAACATTCTGGAAAAGGCAAAACAATGGAGACCGTAAAAGGATGAGGGGCTGCCGGGGATTGAGGAGTTGGGGTGTGGTGGAGGAGTGGCCAGGAGGGGCACGGGAATTCGAGGTGACACTTATTCTCTGCGATCCCGTAATGGTGGCTACGTGCCGTGCATTTGTTAAAGCCCTAGAACTGCACAACACCCAGAGTGAACCTGAGTGTCAAGTCTGGAATTTAGTTAATACTAATTATTCGTACTATAATACATTAACTGTAATAAATGTACCAACTAATGCAAAATTTTATTAATAGCAGAAACAGTGTATATATTGGCACGGAGGGTAACGGCAACTCTGCACCAGTGGCTTAATTTTCCTGTAAATCTAAAACTGTAAAGAAAATCTAATAATTAAGAAAACATCAGAGCTGTTGCTCAATAAGCAGGTGTTTCCTGTTACTGTAAGCGGCAGCCGGGCCAGTCCGAGGGCGCCGGAGGCCAGGCCTCCTGCACGGCGCACGCCGGGCGTGTGCCTTGCTCCTGGGGGCGTGCTGGAGCCGGTTTGCCAGCAGGTGGCGCTCCTCCCCCTCCCTCTGCCCCTCTCACCCTTCTTCATATTCTCAGTTCTGTTCCTACCTTTCCCCTTTTCCCTTTCTGGGTATAAACCATCATGTCTGGATCTGGTAACATGGGATGGAACCTGGCCCTGGTCCTTTACACGGCCGGGGATGCAGAAAGCCTAGGGGCCCGGAGTAGGATGAGCCCAGAGCCGGTGAGACAGCTGCTCCTGACTTGGCGCCGGTGAGAACGGTGCCCGCACAAGCCTCAGGGCCCCCACGGCTGCCCAGGGCAGGCAGCGCAGCCGACCTCCGAGCCCCTAGCCACACCTGCCCCCTCTGGGCCCCTGCACCTGTGCCCCGTGCAGCCGTTCCATCCTCATGGTCTTCCCTGTGCTCTGGGCTCCTGCTGGGCCCCCCGTGCCCACACTCAGTCCTCCGGGTGTCCGGTATTTTCTGAGATGTGCTCCCTGAGACCTGGCTTCGCTTTTGGCTCCCCAGCTCTGACTGGGGCGAGTTCACACCCAGACCACTTCCCCCCACCTCCTACGAACTCCCCCCTGTTGAAGAAAGGGATTAAAACATCCGGATTTAGGAGGGTAAACAGACGCAGACAGCAGTGCAGGTCCGATCAACGTGATCGCTGCGGGGTAACTTGGCTCATGACGCCACACAGTCTCGAGTACAGGTAATACTGTGGACACAGGTGGAAGGAGATGTGCGTCAGGAGGGAGGATTAGAGAGGATCATGAATCTGATAACGGAAAACCTGAAATCTCCTTGGAATATGGAAAAAGGCTAATACATGAAGTTGCATTAAAATCCAAACTTGAATTTCTCAAGTAACAAAAACAGGTCCCAGAATGGAGAAGATACATAACACATTTATCTGATAAAATATTAGTATTCATAATGTATAAAGAATCACAAATAAACCAATAAAAATATATATAACTGTAATTTTCAAAATAGGCAAAAATAAGGACAGGCAAATCACTGAAGAAAAACGAATACAATTTCAACCTCACTAGAAATTAGGAAAACTTAAACAAAACCCCACAGGTTAGCAAAAAATAAATCTGATAGTACCAGATGGTGATGAGGATACAGACCACCAGGAATTTTCAGACACTGTTGGTAGGAATGTAAATTATTGCAACAATGTTGGAAAATCATTTTAAACTCCAGCAACTTCACTCCTAGAGCCCACAATATTTATATCCACAGGAAAACATGTATAAGAGTTTCAGAGCAATATTATTTGTAATAGCTAAAAAGAAATTAGAAACAGCCCAAATTTCCTCCAGAGGAGAAAAAAAAGTATGGTTGTACAATGGAACTGTTTATAAGGTGAAAATGAACAAATACGTATGTCATCACAATATTGAAAGAGAAAACAGATGCATAAAAAAATACATAGCATGATACCACTTAACATAAAGTAGGCAAAACAATACCACACTTAGCTGAGAGATACAGACGCAGTGAATGGATAAAGATTGTCCTGCCTGCCAGTGGTAAACCCCAGGTCTGTCTCTGTGGGTTATTCTTGGAGGGAGGAGCAGTGGGGGGGAAGGCGGCACACACAGGGCTGCTCACAGCTGTGAGGGGGCAGGGCATGGCCCCTGAAGTTGTGCAAAATAGTACTTGTGAGGACCCAGGCCTCCAACCCCTGGCATCGTGGTAAGTCGGTGACAAGTATGTAGGAATTAGCAGCAATTTCATACCCTTTTATGCAGTTTGGTGTGACATAATAATGCATTTTAAACTTATTTTAAAATCCACAGTGTAGGAATTAGACTATCCAAATATTTTAGTTCAGGAAGGACAGATAACGCTGTTGGCAGAGCGGGAGATGGAACAGCGAGGGGGCGTTTGGAAACGGAGGTCAGCTAGGAGACGCCAGCCCCAAGACCAGAGGATGCAGGTGAAGCCTAGGCTCTGGCAGCAGGGCCCGAGAGGAGGCGCCGGAGACAGAAGCGGATCGGTGATGAGCTGCACGCAAGCCCAGGAGGCCAGAGGGAGCAGGGCCTGTGCAGCTGTGCCAGCAAACGCTGCGCTAGGGACCCAGAGCCGCCGCGCAGGGGCGGGTGGGATGCGGCGGAAGGTTCAGGGGCGCAGAAGACGTGCTTTGCTGCGGTGCTCGGCCTCGGGCGTGGGGAGGCCTGCCCCTGCTGGGAGGCGTGGCTCCGGAGCCGTGGGCGGGGAGAAGGGCGCGCTCCCGGAAGCCAGTGGGACGGGGGCGGGGCCAGAGCGGACCACTTGGGGGCGGGGCTCCACTCACAGGGAGGGGCCCGCTGAGGGTCCGCGGAGCAGCCGAGCTCACGGAGACCCTGCGGCCTGCGGTGGGGGCCACAGACAGCCTTCAGCAAGGCCGGCCGGTGGAGGGAGAGGAGCCCTGGACCCAGTCTGCGTGTTCCGCAGAGCTCTGGGTAGCGAGAGGTTTTCAGGTGCAAGACTTCAGGTGAGTCCTGCAACGGGGGAAAGCGACCCCCAGCGGGTGTGAGCAGCAGGTGGGGAGGGAGGGCCCAAGGAGGCCAGGAGAGGGGCTGCAGAAGAGGGGGACGTGCCCCTTTCCTCTGTCACTCAGCAACACGGTGACAGGCGCGGGCACCCGGCTGGCTGAGTCTAGATCCGAGGCAGTGGGGTGGGACACTGTCCTCTCTGGTGGGCTGCGTCTGTGCCTCTGACCTCCCCAGAGAGGGGCAGCTGGCATCAGTGAGCTGCACGAACGAAGCTGGTGTCTGAGTTTGCTAGTGAATCATTATTAGTACATTTTCACTGTTATTATAGCCAGTGTAACAAACTCCTGTGATGGATGGATAAAAGGAACACCCCAAAGCTTGGGAGTGTATGTGCCCAAAAACCATCGACGTCAAACGCATGGCATCATAGTGTTTGATGTTATATGGCTGAAGCATAGGGCAGTCCTAGAATACTAAAACTGCACGGGACCTCACACAGCCACTCATTCAACTTTATAGTTTGAGGCCTGGAAAAGCAAAGTGATCTTTCTGGGGTCACACTGTCTGACATCCGTATTTTCTGTGACATGAAAGTTCACTGTCAGTGACTATGAGGAAGCTATGGAGGAAGCATGTTGGAAGTTTGTGTCACGGAGCGACTGTCACACTCCGAGATGTTGCCTGTAGGACATTCCTGTGAACTGAGTGTGTGTCAGAAGGATGTGGTTTGTGGTGCCTCCATCCCACCTGAGCAGGTGCAGCTGGGGTTTATTTGAGGTCAGTAATAACAATAATAATAATAAGCAGAAAGGCTTAGTTTTATACAAAACCTCTTATTTTTAGGAAAGAATTGGACAGTTGAGGGTTCCCTGCCTCCAAAGATGAGATATAATTAAGAACATTTCTGTGTTTTATCTACTCAGGAGAAGAATGACCAGACTCTTGCTCGCACCAAAGAATGAAAACAGCTTATCTAATGTTCTGGAAGAATGAACCGAAGCTATGAGCTAAGGCTGCGGGCTCGTAGGCCTGGAGAATCGTTAGAGTCAGCATCCCCAAGGAATACGAACACACATGGTGTCCCTTTATCTAAGTGGAAGAACACACAGAGATTACACTTTGGAAATGATTGCCTATGTACTTAAATTCATACTGCACAATTGCTCTTGGATGTTTTCTGGAAAGAGAAATTCAGAAGGTTTATAGAGTTCATTTAAACAACATAAATCTGCATTTTATTTCACTAAATGGGAAGGCATGGCCACAGAGTTTGGAAAAGAGTAATATGTAGTTGTGTCAGAAGGGATGTATTTCACTGTCCCTTCCAAGAAAGGTTATTATCTTCCCCAGGAGTCAGTGTGGCCACAGGACACACATGCTGGGCCGTTCCTGTAAGACCTCATATAGTTTCCTACCGACATGAAGCCTTCAGCAATAAAATGAAAACAAAAATCGCTGGAACATGGGTCCTTGATGAGTGTGCTTTATATGAGGAGTGTGCATGTTACATCTTCTGCTGCATTCTCATAGGAAATGGAGTCATAGTTGAAATAGGGATTTCTGCCTCAGTCCTGAGAGCAAGTGAATAAAGGGAAAAATACAGTCAAAGAGCCAGAGGGCTGGAAGGTGCTGGTCTGGGATCTGGGCATAAACACGGACCGTGGAGACAGAGCTGGTGTGGGTACAGATCACATGAGAAAAGCTCTGGGTTGCAGATCTGGAGGTATCAAGAACAGCTTTGTTGTTTATTTCTGTGAACCTTGAGCAAGAAAATTATTTCACCTCCTTTGGCCTCATAATGTCTTCATGTGAAGTGGACTAACACTTCCTGTCTACCTCAAATGGTATTATAAGGATCAAGTGATAGCATAAATGAAGCATCTTATTCAAGAGGGATAAATAAGTATTATTTTGAAAGTGTGAAATTTCAGAATGCCCCAAAATTTAATTTAAATGCCTCTTTGTTCCTATTATTTTGTTAGGAATATATGATATTTATATACAGAATTTTGATGTTTTTCCTGTTCTAAAGGATGATGACAATCTAGGAAAAGAAGGGAAATGTCTTCAATGTGATAAAGAGCAACTATAAAAATCTATAGCTAATATCACAAGATGGTGAAAAACTGGCTTCTTTCCCTTACAACATCTACACATTAGAACCAATAGTAGAGGTTCTAGCTGGTGCAGTAAAGCCAGAAAAAGAAAGAAAAGGATTGATATTGGAAAAGAAGTAAAACACCTTATTTGGAGAAATCATAATGATTTATTTTAAGAAACCCATATGGAATCCACAGAAAAAGCTACTGTAACTTATAAATAAATTTAGCAAGGTTTTAGGATTAAGAGCCAATACTGAAAAACCAATTGAACTATCAGTTTGAAGCTAGATAAACAATATATTTAACATAATATCAGAGACACAAAGTCCTAAGGAAGGATTTATTTGGCAAGACTTGACCACTGAAAACTACAAAACATAGCAGAGAGAAGTTAAAGAAGACTTGAGTAGTGGGGAGTTACTGTGGCCACAGAGTTGATAACTCAATATTGTTAAGGTATGAATTTTCACCAAATCAGATTATGGATTCAAAGCAAATTTATTCAAAAATCTCAGCTGGCTTTTTTTTTTTTTAAGAAATTGACAAGCTGAGTTTACAATTAGGAAGTATCAAAAGGACTTGGAATACCAAAATAACCTTGAAAAAGAACAAAGTTGGATAACTTACACTACTTGGTTTGAAGACTTATTATAAAGCTACAGTAATACAGTATGGCACTGGAGAAAATACAGATAAATAGAATAGAACTGTGTCCAAAACAGACCTGTACACATATGATCAATTAATTTTAAACAATGATGACAAAGCATTTCAATGGAAAAATGATAATCTTTCAAACAAATGGTGGTGGAATAGTTGGATACAGTATACTGATAAAAGTGAAACTCAACCTTTACCTTATAGCATATACAAAAATTAACTCAAAATGGAGAAAAAACTTAAAACTAAAACATAAGCATAAAAACGACTTCCAGGGAAAAAAAATCTTCATGATATGGAGTTTGACAAAATTTGACAAATTTGACACAAAAACAAGGGAACAATTGACATTTGGACTTCAAAAAATAAAAATATATGCCATTCAAAAGACACTTATGGAAATGGAAAGGCAAGCTACACACTAGGAGAAAATATCGCAAAACATATATTTAACAAAGAAATGATATTTGTGATAATCAAATAACTCTAAAACTCAATAATGACAATCCAGTTACAAAATGGGTAAGAGATTTGAAAAACATCACATCAATCATGATACATGGACTGCAAATAAACAGAAGAAAAGATGCTCAGCATCATACGTTATTAGAGAAAGAGAAATTAAAACCACAATGAGATACCATTACACACCTAGAAAGACTAAAAATCAAACGGTTGAAAAACAGTGTTGGTGAGGAAGTGGAGCAGCTTGATACACGTTGCTGGTAGAAATAAGATGGTGCAGCTTCTTTGGAAAACAGTTTAATAGCTTCTGAAAAAAGTTAGACATACAACAACTATGTAACTGCCATTTCATTCCTTCATATTTATGCAAGAGAAATGAAAGCATATGTGCATGCCAAGTCTTAACATAAATGTTCACAGCAGTTGTATCTGTAATCAGGCCAGCATAGGGGTGAGGTAAGTGGAACATTTGCACAAACCTTGGAGTGAGTGCCTTCTTAAGTTTTGTGCACAAGTTTCTCTCACCCTAGCCTGGGTCCTGTTGAGAGTAGTCAAAACCTGAAAACGACCGAAATGTTCATCAACAGGTGGATGGATAGAGAAACAGGTACACATACACAATGGAATACTATCCAGTGCTCACTTTGAGGCACATATGGTAAAATTGGAATGATTCAGAGAAGATGAACAAGGCTCCTGAACAAGGATGACATGCAAATCTGTGAGGCATTCCATAGTTTTATAAAATAAATAAGTTGTGGGCATATAAAGTACCCCAAGGGATGAGTAATACTGTATTGTGCATTTGAAAGTTGCTAGGAGAATAGATCTTGAAAGTTCTCACAGGAAAAAACACTAACACTGTGTGGTCACAGATGTTAACTAGACTTACAGTGTTGGTCATTTTGTGATATATAATTATCAAATCATTATTGTATACCTGAAACTAAAGTAATGTTATATATCAATTATATCTCAGTTTAAGAAAAGAAATACTATTCAGCAATGAAAAGGATCGAAGCATTAATTCATACAACATGAACAATCTCAAAGTAATTATTCTGAATGAAAGACATTAAACAGGATGCATATGGTATGTTTCCATTTATATAACATTCTAGAAAATGCAGTCTAATCTTTAGTGACAGAAAGCTCGGTAGTTTTCAGGGAATTAGGGAGGAGGGAGTAGAGGGCGAAGAGAGTACAAAGGGAGCAAGGAGGTGTTTGGGTTGATAGGACATGTTCACACCCTGATTGTATTGACGGTTTCACATCTGTATACATGTGTCAAAATTTATCAGACTTCACCCTTTAGTAATATGCTGTTCATGGTGTCAATTATATCTCAAAAATGCTGTTAAAAATAAAATGAGACACAATAAAAATTTAAGACATGAAGCCTTAATGGATCCTGATTGAGAAATTAAGAAAATTTAGAGACAACAGAGATTATTTGAATGTGGACTAAATACTAAATATAAAAAGAGATCATTGATACTTTTAGGTATAATGTATTATGAATAATGTAAGAAAATGGCAGAATTCTTAGGAGATTCATGCTTAAGTATTTAGGGGTAAAATGTGATGTATATAGCTTGTTTCAAATAGTTTGATAAGAAAAACACATAGATAAAGCAAATATTGCAAAAACATTAAGACTTGAATCTAGGTGTTCAGTGTACAGGAGTTCATTATACAATTCTTACAGCTTTTTGGGTATGCTTGATAATTATATCATTAGAAAGTTGGAAAATTTTGTCAAGCAAATTTGATAAAGAACTAAATTACAAAATATAAACAAGAAATAATGGAATTATCCAACTCAACGGATGGGCTTACTTGAAGACATAGCAGGAGATAAAATTGGTAAATTGCAAAGTAAATCCTAAAAAATTATCCAGAATGCAATAGAGGCAGACATTATTAAAGAAAAATTAAGAAACATGGAGAATAAAATGAGAAGATAAATTTGGTTGGAATTCTAGGAGAAAGAGAAAGAATGAGGCTAAGGCCATATTTGTAGAAATAATACCTGAGAAAGCCCAATGACTCCCTGCAAGTATAAATGAAAGAATCTGATTTTAGGAACACTCTTGTGAATCTGTAAGACAGATTCACAATATGATATATCAGTCACAATCTGATATAGTTACTAATTTAAAAGCAATAGCTGTGAGGTCTTAAAAGCTCCTAGTAAAAAAAATGGTTACTTCCACTATTTACAATAGCCAAGAAATGGAAGCAACCTAAGTGTCCATCGGTAGATGAATGGATAAAGAAGAGGTGGCACATATACACAATGGAATATTATTCAGCCTTAAGAAGAAAACAAATTCTTCCATTTGCAACAACATGGATGGAGCTGGAGGGTATTATGCTCAGTGAAATAAGCCAGGTGGAGAAAGACAAGTACCAAATGATTTCACTCATATGTGGAGTATAAGAACAAAGAAAAACTGAAAGATCAAAACAGCAGCAGAATCACAGAACCCAAGAATGCACTAACAGTTACCAAAGGGAAAGGGACTGGGGAGGATGGGTGGGAAGGGAGGGATAAGGGCGGGGAAAAAGAAAAGGGGCATTATGATTGGCATGTATAATGTGGGGTGGGGGCGTGGGAGGGCTGCACAACACAGAGAAGATGAGTAGGGATTCTACAGCATCTTACTATGCTGATGGACAGTGACTGTAATGGGGTTTGTGGGGGGGACTTGGTGAAGGGGGGGAGCCTAGTAAACAAAATAAAAAATATTTTTAAAAAAATGGTGACTTCGAAAAGGACAAAATTGATAACTGACTCTTCATCACCCATGATAGAAGCCAAGCTAGAAATGGAGTATTTTCAGTGGATTGAAAAGAAAAAGTACCTTTTAAGGATGAAGGCAAAATAAAGACATTTTTAGATGAGAGCAAAATAGACATTATGAGAATGTTTGCTACTAGTCATGCGCACTAAGTGAAATTGTAAAGTGTGTATGAGACAGAAAGAAACAGCAGATAAGGTCAGAGAGTCAAGGAGGAATGTAGGCCCCCAAATTTGTAATATATGTAGGTTTTCTAGACATATTAGAGTAAATAAAATAATAATACTCTGTACTTTAAAAGTAGAATTAACGCAAAACAACAATAGTATAAAGATAAGAAGAAGGGTGAAGATATTAACATTCTACTTTCATAAGTATCAACTTGAATTTTATAGGATATCATTAACAGAGTATATAACTTTCAAACTAGTAAAGGGGGAGAAAAAGCATTAAAAAAAAGATGATCCAAAAAAGGCAAGACTGTAGAGAAAAGTAAACTCAGATGACTTGGGACAAAGTGAAAGCAAAATATAATAAATATAAATAATTGTCATACTATATTAAAAATAATTAACACCAGAAGGTAAGTACAAGAATACTTATAGCAGCATGTTCATTAAAAAAGCAAACCACTAAACAATTTAAAAGTCCATCAACAATGGATTGAATCAATAAACTATGTCATAGTCTTACAGTGAAATACTGTGTAACTGAAAATAAATGAACTTCAGCTACATGCATCAGCTTCAGTGAATCTCACAAGTAGAGTATTGAGCAGAGAAGCAAGACATAAAAGAATTTGAAAGAACTTTAAGAAAAGTTCAAAAGCTGGACCATCTAAATAGACGGTACAACCATAAAGGCAGGTACTCCTAGGGGGAGGGTGCCCTAAGGGAGGGGCACATATGGGGCTTCCAGGGTGTTGGCTTTTCTCTAGAAGACGACCATCTGTCTGGTGGTTCCAGGGAGCTTATGTTTTATGACCCCTTTTAAATATCTGATATAGTTACTAATTTAAAGGTGAAATGGAAGAAAAAAGCAGACCTCCTTGGAACCCTCTGAGACATCCAGGAGGAAGAGTCTAGAAAACCAACCTAAATACCACCTACCAAGACTGAATCATGAAAAACAGAAAATTTGAGCAGACCAAGTAAGGAGATTGAAACAATAATTAAAAATCTCCCCCCAAAATAATTCCAGGATCAGATAGTTTCACCATTGAATTCTACTAAACATTTAAAGAAGACTTAACATCAATCCTTCTCAAACTCTTCCAAAAAATTACAGAGGAGGGAACACTCCCAAACTCATTTTACAAGGCCATTATTACCCTGATACTGAAGCCATTTGACACTATAAGAAAATTATAGGCCAACATTGCTGATGAATATATATATGCAAAAATTTTTGACAAACTATTAGCAAACTAAATTCAACAGCACATTAAAAGGATCATACACCATGATCAAGTGGAATTTATCCTGGAAAGCAATGCAAATCAATCAATGTGGTATACCACATTCATAGAATGAAAGGTAGCAACCATATGCTCATCTCAATAGATGTGGAAAAAGTACTTGACAGAATTCAATATCCTTTCATGATACGCTCAATAAATTGGGTGTAGAAAGAATGTACTTCAACACAAGAAACACCATATATGACAAGCCCACAGTTAACATCATACTCAATGGTGAAATATTCAAAGCTTTTCAGATCAGGAACAAGACGAGGGTGCCCACTCTCACGGCTCCTCTTCAACATGGCCCTGGAAGTCCCAGCCAGAACGACTAGGCAAGAAGAAAGGAAAGGCGTCCAGATCAGAAAGGAAGAGGTAAAATGGTCTCTGCATACAATATGATCTTATATATGTTATGTGTGCATTAAGTATATACATGGTAAAAAGGAAACAATCGTACAAAACTACATAGGGATAGAGCTGTCTTTCACAGTGAGAATCCTGTAACTAATCACATCTACTTCATTAGGGTTAAGAAACCTAGACTTCAATCTTCTTTTTGCTGTTTGTAGTTATGTAGGAGCTTTATCAGTTTAGGTACTCTCTTTGATTATTTTTTCATTTATCCTGATTTTATCTATAAACTTTTCGGCGATATATGTAAATAACTTCAAATCTTTTTCAAAGCGAAACAGGGTATATACATTTCTACACACTATTCAAGGTGATTTACAAATGGCCCTGGATTCTTCTGATCTGCCTCCAGTCTATTTTCTCAGCCTCATAGCCTACATCACCTCCAATACGTATATGGAATTGCTGTCACATTTTGTCTAAATTTGCAGGGACTCCTGCTTTACTGCATCCAGATGTGATGGATTAACAGGTAAAAGGACTTGGTGAGTCTTGGATTGGCTTACAGGCTATGCAGACTTAGGCAAACTACAAACTCCTCTGGACCTCAGTGTCATTCGTAAAATGAATGGTTCCTTGCAGGACTGCTAAGGATTTAAAAAGTATCTTTAATAAACAACTAAATTGTAAGAGAAACAGCAGACGTTAATAATTGTTAAATCCCTTTAGCCATTCACTGGCTGGCTGATGTGCGATTTTAACCTCTCTGAACGTGTTTCTTAAAAAATGTGGTTATCTAACTTTACATCTCCCCGTATGGCCCCGGAACATGACTGGTTAGCCAGAGACGGGTAAGATTCCTCAAGGGAGGAACAACCTAAGACAGGCACAGCCGCAGGGGGGCCATCAGGTGAGAAATTGGGGATCAACAGTGGTGAGGCTTAGAACCTCACCCCCCCTGTTTTGAGAGAAATCTTCTGCATCCGTGGATGTTTTGTTGCCCTTGTCTAGCTTGGATTAACACACAGTCTACAGGCACACACCTGATCATCTGATCATCTACATTTGCCCTCTTACAGCACTAAACTATGTTTTCTACCTTTATCTTGCATCTACCTAGCACTTCGGCATTTTATTCAAAATAAAAATAATAATAATAAAGGGAGAAATGTGGGATCCACATATAAATCAAGTATAAAAATCAAACGAATATTCATATTTGACCTGATTGTTTATAGTTCATAATGCGTGATCAAAACTGGAAGTTTTTTTGATGACTGCCCTTGTGCTGTTCACCAGGTAACTTATTCACTATGTAAGAATTCGTTCACCATGTAAGAACTTGTTCGTTATGCTTCAGAAGATTGGAGACTGATGAGAATTAGGCTTGAGATGGATTAATGATTGTGCATTGAGCATTGACCCCCCTATACTGAATTTCATTGTTGTTAACAACCATTTGATCAATATGAGAGATGCCCTCTCAAAAAAAAAAAGTGGTTATCTACCTATTTTTTCAGAAACTGAACATAGACAAACATCAGTGCATATACATAAAGCACCTGACAGAGGCTCCTAATTTTCGTTTTATCCCTTTTTTACCCTATTGTCTCCACCTGGAAAGCCCTGTTGGAATGAAACCGTTCGCTAAAACTCAGTTAAAAGAGGGTCTCTCCTACTTATTTTTTAAAATTCTAATTAATCTTGTCCTTGCCGACGTTCTCTGCACGTTTTTTTATAAACCTCTTATTATATATTGACGTTTCCTCTTTCTTGCCTCGTAGCTCCAAGTTTGCTTGGGGTTACAATGTTTTACTTTTGTATTCCCGTATAATACCTTGCATGTATTTGGGAATCATTATTTATTGCTGTGAATGAGTTGCTCTGAGGACACTGGATGATGACAGACCTCCTTAGGCTTGAGCAGCCGTCACGCCTCCTCCGGGGAGGCCGCCTCTCCTGCCCTCACTGGCGCTGTCAAGCTGTTAGGATTGTGCGGGAGTCAGTGTGGGCAACCGCCACAAAAATAAAAGTTCACCACATGTGAAATTATAACTTTTAATGTATTTCATCAGACACCAGGCACATCGGTGACCTGCAGGTACGTCCAGGGCCCCGGGCGCGCGGCCGCCGGCCTGCGGAGGGAGGCGCCCACGGCCTCCTGCGGCGGCGCGTCCGGGGCCCCCGCGCCCGGAGCTGCGGGAGCGCGAGCTGAGCCCGCGGCGGGAAGGACCCCGCTTGTCCCCTTCCTTCACCCTGCCGCCTCTTCCTGGGGAGCTTCCTAACCATCTCTGACGGTTAAAGGGGTGCCTCTCCCGCTTCCTGTCCCGCCCGCGTGAATTCAGGGGTCGCACGCCGGGGCCGCCCGCGCCCCGCGCGCCTCGGGCCCGAACCGCGGAGCGCGCATGCGCACGGCCCCGCTCCCAGCCCCCACTGCGCGCGCGCCCGCGCCCGCCGCCCCCAACGCGGCCCGCCGGGCCATGGCACCCGCCGAGGCCGGCGCGGTTCTGGTCCTCCCGTTCGCTCGCTCGGGCGCCTTCCCCCCGTGAGGCCCGCGGGCGCTCGGCCCGGGCTCGGCGCCCGCCCGTCTTCACCGCTCGGCCGGGCGCGCGCCGCGCCCCCGCGGCCGTTCCCCGCGCGTGCGCGCTCCGGCGGGTGCATGTGCGCGAGTGTGTGCGCGGCCGAGGGCTGGGCCGCCGCCGCCGCCGACGATGCCGCGGGGCCGCCCCCCGAAGCCCAGGGAGAGCCAGGCGCGCGGCGACACCGGTAAGCGTCCCGGCCGGCCGGCCGCGCTGTGCCGCTCCGCGCGAATATAGTCCCCGGATGCGGCGCCGGGAGCGGGCCGGGCCGGC